TACTTATACATAACTTTGTATTCTACTCATCAATATCATACCCACATTCTGTAAAAGTAAAAAAAAAAAACAATCCACTGGACTTGGTTTTTCTCTATTAACATAGATGGCTTCCTTCACGCCCCACTCAAACCACATACTTTCTTTATCCAGAATGTGAACATTCTGGTCCTCAAAAGAATGTCCTTTGTCCACAAGGTGTAGATGTACTGCGGAGTCTTGTCCAGAGGAGGGCGCTCTTCTGTTTTGGGCCATGCGTCTGTGGAGAGGTTGTTTGGTTTCTCCAATGTAAAGATCAGAGCATTCCTCGCTGCACTGAACAGCATATACCACTCCGCTCATATTCGGTCTGGGGGTTTTTTATCTTTAGGATGCACTAGCCTCTGTTTAAGGGTTTGGTTTGGCTTGAAATGTACTGGGATTTTGTGTTTGGAGAAAATCCTCTTGAGTTTTTCAGAAACTCCAGCAACATAAGGGATTGTGTTGTTTTTGCGTTTAGTTTTCTCCCCGCTATCTTCTCCTGCGTGTCTTTTGGATTTCCTTGCTGATTTGATAAATGCCCAGTTTGGATATCCAGTTTTGGAGAGCATCTCTGATGTGTTTCTGTTCTTTGTGCTTCCCATCTGTTTTAGTAGGGACATGTCCTACCTACAAACCTTGGAAACCAAGTCCAGTGGGTTGCTTTTTTTTTAATTTTACAGAATCATTTAGTTAACATTGTATTAGTTCTTGAGCCCCTTGAGTTATTTACTATTACGGGTAGGAGAGTAAATGTTAAGGTATGATTAAAGGAGGGCCGGCCCTTGCACATTGAAAATAGGACTGACCCAACGGGCAAATGCCCGGTATCACAGATTACAGGATTTGAACATGCTTTTGTTTAGCATCCTCTTCATCCTCATAATCATCTGGTAGGTTCTGAGAAATGTCCAGGCTCCATAAATCAAACACTTCTTTACCATTAGGCTGCAACCACCATGCTTCAACTGTACTGTGAGATATATATGATCAAGCAAAGCCATTTGGATTCTAATAAGTCTGTTTGCAGGATTTTCTTAGGGTTCCATTCAATCAATATGAGCCATAGGCCCATTTCACAAGCTCCAAGCAGGTTTATTTATCTTGATGTTTTGTAGTTTAAGTTTTGCCATAGCCCAACCTTTCACAAGCTGTAGCAGTTGTGCATTAATCTGCGAAGGTTCTGAGGTTCATATTTAGCATGTTGGTTTACAGTTCTTGTCTTTGTTCTCCTCTGCATCTCTGCTTGTGTTTGCATCAACATGCCTACACCAAAGCTTCATTCGCCACATTTGCATACATTTCGGGTTGTTTTACATCTGGTTGAGCAGCATTGCCTGGTTTTAGGCCTCGATCTCAAAATAAATGACAAATGAGAACATTAATCACTTAATCCTCGAGGGACAACCTGGGCCCTCGAGGATTAAGGAGTCAATATCAGTTGAAACTGACAAGGGGTTTTAATCAAATTTAATAATATGCCCAGTGAGATGAAGTTACATGCCCAAATTTGATCAATTTTGGTCATTTGTTTGTTTAAATCAGACCTGCTTCATGTATATATATCCAGTTCTTGCCCAACGCTCTCAAGGTCAGAAGCTGCAAATAGCTGAAATTTGGTTGATAGACAACGGAAACCAGCAAGATCAGGTACATTCTATTTTTACTGAAATAACTAGTGTATCCATACAAAATTTTATTTTCCTTAATGTGCTGATTTATGGATTTGATTGTTTACATGAGATAATTCTGATATTTAAAAAAATGTTATTTGTTTCTGTCTGTTTCTGTCTTACTTCTGAGAACCATCTTCAAACAGTCCTTAGGAAAACAATTTATAGAATATTTATATTTTATAAAATTCATTAAAGCAGAAAGCAAATATCTCATTTGGTAAGAAACATTTTAAGGGGGAGCTTTAACCTGAGCATTTCCAATGTCTCTACTGTTTTTCCTTCAAATATCGTGTAGGAGATTCCCTTCTGTACATCAACAATTGTTATTCTGTGAAAAAAGTACTTCTATAATTTACTAAAGTTGTTCTTTTTCTGTCTAGTCTAGTACAACAATAATGCTCGCAGATTCTGGAAAAAAAATTGTCCTTTGGAAAGAATAATTACATTTTAGTCCTGATGACATTATATATATTTGGAGGACACCAAGATTCTGCATTTGTAATTGTAATGGTTTGCCATTTTCTATATAGTTCCCCTAAGAAACATAGAGAATGCAGTATCCTCA